TGTAACGTAAATACGCCCCTGGATTACGAAGGGGTAATAACAAACCTGATAAGCTGAAGAAGCAGTTCCAAAGATGAATCCCTCTGGAAAATCAGAACGGCTAATGGACTCAGAATTCACCAATAGACAAATGATGAAGAAGGAAAATATGATTTTCATGGGGGTTGAAGAGTCTTTTTCAGTGTAAATAAGGGGGTAATTAAACTATTAAACTTTGGTTTAGTGGTGTTATAATAAAAAAAAGTGCAAAATGCCAGACTTAATATAGAGAAAACCTTTTGTATACTTCAAGAAATAGGCAAAACATTTGGAGTAGTTTTATGTTAAAATTTGGTCACATAGAAAAGGGGACAAATGAGACACTCACCCTTCTCTTGCGTCATAAGAGGACAGGACTCGATACTCATAATGAAATACAAATTTAATTCAAATTTTGTAAAGAATAAAGTATTTTTTATAATAGTAATTTTTATATTGAAAACTCAAAATTAAAATTCACGATTTCATAATATCATTTTTCATTTTTGTACTTTTGCTTACGTGTCGTGATATGAGGGTGACAAGTGTTAGCGCACCCGCCGATTGATTTCATTTGCCTTCACGACTATTATTCCTCGTGAAATAATTTGAACTCTCAACATTTAAGTAAAGCTTCAAGGTTTCTACTTCTTTGGTTTTAAAAAATAATTTTTTTTTAAAAAATCTAGTGTTAATCATCATAATTATCCATAAAATGTGAGATTTTTTAAGGAGGCGTTGTGATGGAGTTTGATAGATTTTAAATTTTTTATTATTATATTATAGGAGGGGATAATGAAATGAAATGTATGATATTGATGGGATTTGAACTTTTCATTTCAAGTTTTAACCTGTGAAAACTAGCTAAAGGGACGGGACCTAGTAATTAATGAAGTGGATTGAGAATCGTGTGGTTTTAAGATCAAATAATTAATTAATATTCTTCTATCACAATCTATTCTAGCTTTAGTGAACGAATTACTTGATATCTATCACCGAAAAAGTTGAAAATAAATATTTGTAAAATAATAGAGATGTGCTTAAATTTACTCGTGAATGAGTCAAACTTTTTTTAAATAAAATATAATGACATCTTTAGCAGAATTAAGGGAAGATTTTTTATGAGCTTCAAATTGCAGTATATTAAAGTGCAACAATAGTAATTTTTATTTAGAGTAGAGTTGTAATTTCCCATCATTATACTCTACTTCAATACCACTTGTCAACGCTTACAGTCTATCTTAATAATTTACGTATATACTAATTATATATACACGTCATACGTGCATCATATCTATATTCTCATTAATATATATTTATAATATTATATTTATCGATTATTATTTTAACGAGCGAATATATATAGTATATTTATTATTATTATTATTATTATTGTCACGATCCAAAATGGACGTGATGACACTCGTCTTAACCCACCAAGACAAGTCAGCCTAAAACTCAATCATTACAATAAAATGCGAAATTTTTTATAATAAACTCAAAAATACCCCCAAAATCTAGTTGTCATGTGTACAAGCCTTTAAAGAATTACAATTGAATCAAAAGAAAAATACAAGTCTCATATGACATTGTTTCTAGAGTAGAACAAGATCATAAACAGGAGTAAGAAGGTCTGTTGAGTTGACAAACAACTACCTCACAAATCTCCAAGAAGCCTAGGAAAATAAGAGAATATATCACAAAGGTCCGGGCTAGTAACCTACAAAAAAAATATAGTAGCAAGGGGTGAGTACCAAACCACGCGGTACTCAACAAGTAAACCTCTAAACACAAGCTAAGGGGATAGAATACGGGTACTCCTTACACCCCAACTGAACCTCCACAACTACAACATGCATAAAATCAGCCCAACATAACAGTTCACAATTCACATAGCACATATCTCAACAACAACACTCTAACAATACATATCCTCAACAACAAACTCAATATTCACCAATCAAAGTTCCACAAAAAGGCACTCACAAGATCAACAAAACACAATATCAAGTTCACTAATGATAAATATGTGCAATGCAATGGAATGCAATGTCAAGTATAGTGATGCATGTCTGACCTAGTGATACATACCCGCTGTCTCTCAGTCCGGGACCCATGGGGGACATATTTGTCCATGCATCCATCGCGGCGCGCGATACGACCCTCGATAATATAGTAACCATCGTGGCGTGCGATACGTCTCTCGAAAAATAGTATCCATCGCGGCGCGCAATACATCCCTCGAAAAATAGTATCCATCGCGGCGCGTGATACGTCCCTCGAAAAATAGTATCCATCGCGGCGCGCGATACGTCCCTCGAAATGGTACATTCTCTTTTCACATAACACTTATCATAACCATGTCTCAGAACCAATGCAAATGACATGTTCACACAAATAATGAGGAGATGACCATTTTCATAACAATACACAATTCACAACAATACAACCGTGATACAACATCAACAATGATTCAACAAGCCTTTCAACCCAATCTCAAACATCACACATCAACAATTAAACACATTGCCTTTTATTACCCCTTTTTCATCATTAGAAAATAATCAATATGTACAAGTCAACCCATCGCTAAGTCTCATTACCCTCAAATACATATCACAAGGAAATACACGAATTCCATACACTTAACAAGGGTTTAGAAATCCACTTGCCTCAAATAGTCGAACAATCACTCCGGGACTTGATCTTTTCCCTTTCGTTGGAATTCTAAATCAATTCAAATAGATAATCACAATAAGAGTTTGAAACAAACAACACCAATATTATTATAGGTTTAGCCTAGATCCAAAAACTCACTCAAATGTATAATCAAGCTCCTAATCTTGATACCAATTAGCATGTCAATTCTCATATTTTCCAAATTTCAAGTCAAGGATTAGGTTCCAACATCTCCAATATCATAAATATAATAATATTCATATTTAATGACCTATCTTAATATATATCAAATCTTGAATCATAATGTGATAACTATTGGAAGATTCCTAAAATTTAAGCTAAGTTCCACCATCAATAACCTCGACCACCAAACAAACAAAGAAGAAGAAGAAAAATATAAAACAAGGAAAACTACACAGAATTCATCCTCAATTATATTTAGATATCATTGTCCTGCAAATACCTAACTCATTATTACTTTCTTACTAAACTCTCTCAATTTGGCAGCAACAAAACAAATTGAAAGCAAAACCACAGTTATTTTATATGGTTCAAATCGTCCTTTAAAACTAATTTGGCTACAAGTTTTATCTCTTCTATTTTACCCCAAAATAAAATCACATGTCACAATAATGATTCCATAATCAAGCCGCTGCCGACAACATCATTAGTAAGTAACCAGTTTTTACTTATAGAGCTAGCAATGGCATCACCAATCAACAATCATACTAGCAACAAATTAATATAATAATATAACTTATCATCCAACCATTAATATACTACTTTTTTCCTATAACAACAATAATACAGAAACAAAATAAACCTGAGGTTTTACCTGAAGCACGAGTCACTTTTCTTGTGGCGTCAAACCGTGCCCTCCGCCTCTCTATGATTATGGACTAAAATGTTAAACCCTACTAACTTATTTTTAATGTATATGGTTTGAGTGACATGAGATAATAATTAAATTAAGGGTTTGACCCATTAACCATCACCTAAATAAATTAATTATTTAATAAATTTTGCCAATTAACTAACTGTAGTTATCGAATAGTTCAAAATTCTCAGACCAACTTCACTGATGAATCAAAAATGACTCGTGGCAACTATCGAAAGGGATAAAACAATAATTTTGTGAAAATTTTCAAAAATGACCTTCTGGGTCATTACAATTATTATGTGTGTGAGTGTGGGTGGGGACTTGTGGAAGACTTCGAACTTTTTTTTCAACAAAAAGTCTTTGAATTGATCTAGTGTAATTCGTCCCCCACTCATCCTTAAAAGTCACAAACCAAGTTATACTCTAAACTCTCAATCGAAATAACTTGTTCATTGTAAATATTTGAGGAGACTCGAATAGATGTGTGAGTATATTAGTTGAGATATAATTATGAACGAAGTTATTCGTGGTAAGGTAAGAGTGAATTGCATAGCAAACAAGATGAAAAAAAAGAAGAGATTGAAATGATTCAAACATATAACAAAGAGATTTAAGGATGCGCCAATTAGGAGGTGTTGCATTACAGATAAATAATGATTAATTTGATTAATATTGAACTTGAAATAATCATTTTTTACTTTATTTATATAATATAATCTTTTTGACAAAAAAGATTCGAACTTCTGCACATATTGCATAGTGTTACGTACACGAACGTATAGTTTTGGAATTTATTATCCCAACCCATAAATCCATATATTTACGTATAATTCATTTTACACTTGTAGTGACGAATCCCACACGCAAGATAATTGTTATCCTTTAAGTAACATCCATTTTGCCTTTAATAATGTTTGATTGGAAGCCAAACTATATTTGATCAAATTCATATTTACCCATATTCTATTTGGGTGGATTGTAATTCAAATCATATTTGACCAAATCCATATTTACCATATTCTATTTGGATGGATTGTAATTCAAACTATTTTTGCTCAATCCATATAAATTCGATCCAATCCAACCATTTGCCACCCCTAATCATAGGTGAAATGAGATAAATAACTCATTCAAATTCAAATAAGAGTTTAACATTTCGAAATGTTAAATTAAGCTTTAAAAAAAAAAAATATACGAAGTTTGAGACATTCTAGTCATATATTAGAAGTTTTGCTTGCACAAGTAATACGATGCAATTCTTTTCAATAAATTTGAAATCGATTCTAAAGCAGCTAAACTTGCAAACGTGTGATTCTTAAGTGGACTTGAAAAAATCAATGGTGGGCCGAAATCCAAGACTGGACCCGGCCCAATTTGAAACTAGGTCTTCTCTACCCTTCTCTTAAACCCTAATTTACTTTCTTCATATAACCATTTCCTTTAACATCGCCGAGAGAGAGAGAGACGGCGGCGAAATGGGTCGTGTGATCAGAGCACAACGTAAGGGAGCAGGGTCCGTCTTCAAGTCCCACACTCACCACCGGAAAGGCCCAGCCCGGTTCCGTTCACTCGACTTCGGCGAGCGTAATGGTTACCTGAAGGGTGTTATAACTGAGGTTATTCATGACCCAGGTAGGGGTGCTCCGCTAGCCCGTATCACTTTCCGTCATCCATTCCGTTACAAGCACCAGAAGGAGCTGTTCGTTGCGGCGGAGGGTATGTACACTGGGCAATTCGTTTACTGTGGGAAGAAGGCTACGCTCATGGTTGGCAATGTGCTACCACTTAGATCTATCCCTGAAGGAGCTGTTGTTTGCAATGTTGAGCATAAAGTTGGTGACCGTGGTGTTTTTGCAAGGTGCTCTGGTGATTATGCTATTGTTATCAGTCACAACCCCGATAATGGAACCACTAGGTATGCATAATCAGTTCTGTTTCATCCTTTTTGTAGCTTTTTGTTCAGTTTTTGGTAACTGCTGCTCTGTTTTTCTATCAATTTGAACATAGAACTGGTTTTCTTCCTAATTTAATCAGTAGAATCTCTACGTATGCATATCATAGATTCATCTTGATCTGTTACAGCTTGTTTGGTTTGTTGTCACCTATTGTATTGTACTGTGATATTAGATTAAATACAATATTTGTTTCGATTGTTATTTAAATTTTATTGTATTGTATCATTAAATTCATATAAAAGGTAATGACTCATTTTGTGTGAACGAACGACTGAAAACAAGACATCATACAACATGATTGAAACGATATGTGACAACCAGGATCCAAACTAGGTGTTAATGGTGCTTTTTCATTCTTTGGTTACTGTTGTTCTGACTTGCTTTTATAGTATTGGAACCTGGAAGTCTGCTTTATATTGTTATCATTAACTAAAAGTGGTTATACAACAAATGTGATATCATAGAGGGTCACCCAAAATTAACTAGAGGTGTTTATAGTGCTACAATCGGACTACGTCTCGATGTGATGCCTGTGTTATCTGGTGTTTATGATGTTTTTCTCCTGTGATTTATTAGTTTTATGTGATGATGGAGTTGTTTTTTGGGAAGATGCTTCAGTTTTTTATTAAATTTATTAGATCAAGCACCTATGTTGGCACCGACTTACGAATGTCTGGTCTTGCATTTTCTTTTCTATAAGCATATCTTGAACCCTGCTTGAGACTCTGAATTTCAGTTTGTGCCCACACACTGTTGAAGGAAGATTGTATCGTCCCATAGTTGTTCCACTTGAGAATGAAACTTGCTGTTTGAAAGGGGATTTTCTGCCAAGTTGTCCCCTTTAGGTTGAACCAGCTTCTGATAGTTTGGTCTCATCATGAACCTAAGTTTATATCTTTTCCGGTGATGAGCTGATTATAGTACATTTGGCTCCCAACTACAGCAGTGCTTATTTTTTGTCTTCTTATCCTCAATGTGTTATTGGGATTACATTCAAACTTTCCGTTGTTGAAGTGTTAATTTGGTTCATTTACTTTTGGCAGGATTAAGCTTCCATCAGGATCCAAGAAGATTGTGCCAAGTGGGTGTCGTGCCATGATTGGTCAGGTAGCTGGAGGAGGACGTACCGAGAAGCCAATGCTCAAGGCAGGTAACGCATACCACAAGTACAGAGTAAAGAGGAACTGCTGGCCCAAGGTTCGTGGTGTTGCTATGAATCCCGTGGAGCATCCTCATGGTGGTGGTAACCATCAACATATTGGTCATGCAAGTACTGTCCGTCGGGATGCACCACCTGGGCAAAAGGTTGGTCTTATTGCTGCAAGGAGGACTGGTCGTCTTCGTGGTCAAGCCGCCGCCACTGCTGCTAAGGCTGACAAGGCTTAAAAAGTTTACCTTATCACTGTTTTTACGTATTTGTTTCCGGATCAGTCTTTTAAACTATTTGAGTGCTGAAATTATACTAAATTTTGGTGGGATATTTAGTAAGTTCTGTTTGAGAAAATCCATATCTGGACAAGTTTGCCATTTAACATTATGATTCATTTTGATGTTTGCTCCTAACTTTTTCGTTTTCCTTGATCTCGTCATATCATTATTCTGTCATGCTTAAGTTAACAGGAAAATTTCTCAACATTTTACGCTCTCAAAGCTATTAAACGATTTTTACACGAATCTATTTGTCCCCTTTTAATTAGCAGTATCTATTTTCAACTTCCACAACTGTGCATGTGATCAATTCATTTACTCAAAATTTCTCTCTGCAAAACAAAACCAAATGCACTATACATGTTTATGAATTATGACATTAGTAGATGGTAATGAAAGGCTGAAAGTGCCAAATGAATTTTTTGTTGGAGACAATAATTTAGTAAACAATCCTCTCTTCTAGTTATATTGAAACTTATGAATCTTTTAAACTAATATTTGTGCAAATTAAACTATTGACTAAAGTTTTGTAAGTGATTATACATATTAGATAACAATTTAATGGTTTGCCTATAAGATTAAGCAATATATGAACAAACATTAAACTCGAGTCTAAAATTGTCCGAGGACTAATTTTTAAAAGATTATATTTGCATAAATGATACCTAAAAAAGAGCCCATGCAATCAGCGCCCTATTATGGGCTACCATTTAGCCCATTGGACTGTTACTAGTAAGCCGACTTCACATTTTAAGAAGCAAAATCAACGAACAAAACTCCTTCTCTTCTAGAAATCTCTGTAAAACCCCAGGGTCTAAGAAATTTAGCCCCTTATGGCCTTGCGAGCGGCGACGGCAACGGCAACGGCAACGGCAACGGCTGTGGCGCCGCGAGGTTTACGTGCTCTATTATCTACCTTTTCCTCAAGCTTTCCGTTCAATACGCCTTCGAAGCAAGTTGAGAAGCCGCCACCAGCTGAACCATCCACCAATCTCTTCGTTTCTGGTATATTCCCGTTTCATTCATTTTCCTCAAAATTTACTCATTTCTGCTCACTTTTTTCTAATTTTTAGTTGTATTGCAGATTTTATGACTATGTTTTGTGACTCAGTCTTTTTTTTAATTTTTTTTTTATATATAGCTAACCATTGGTTTTAATTGATAGAATGAATATGCAATTTTGTTTGCATTTAGGTGCTTGCTTATATGTGATCTCGATTTTCAATATGTCATACTTACTTCAATGTTACCAGTTTCAGTAAATTTTTGGTTTAACAAATATAAAAATCATATTAGCACTCTAAAGCTACAATTTTGCTATTTGTAGACATCTCATTTGCATAAAAGCACAATGATTGTATATGTATATCGGTTAGATTATTGTATATATATAACTACTATGTAGATGTATCAATGATTTTATATCTGCATAAAATTTGAATTTGTATACAATTGAATCGAAATAAAACATTTGTATATAACGAGAAAGAGAGAAAGGTAAAAGAGAACTAGTAGGGGAAGATATTTATTTGTATAAATATAAGTGTATAGGTAAAAAATATATGTATTTGTATTTGTATATACAGTTTTCTCTCGCTTTATACAAATACAAACACAATTTATATATTTGTGTTTGTAGAAAGTGAGAAGCGAGGGAGAGTAGCGAGCGAGATTTCTAGGGAGAGAGGCGAATTGCAAAGTGTTTGCTACGGATTAGAATTAAATGAAATTGTGGTTATAACATTTAATTTGAATTAATAGTTTGTTATTTTATACAATTTAAACAAAAAACATGTTATAGTTACTCCACCACCTTCAATGGGAATAATCCTTTCTAAACAAGCAGATATTGTGGCATAATATGTTATGGATGCGTATTTTGTGTATCCTTAATTACGGATGTTCCAATACTTTACGGATGAATCATAAGAACCATAATATCTTTTTAGAAAATGTAAACTAATTGACACATTGTACTCTTTCTATAGGAAAGGAATCGAGTAGGAAAAAAGCTATGATCTTTTGCTATTAATAGATAGTATGTATATTTCTCCATCGTGTAGGTGATAAATGAAATTAGTTTAGGTGAAAAGCAAGAATCTGTCTAGATTCTCTAAAATATAATCCATTGAATCAACAATTTGATTTGATTCATTTTTTTTTGGAATTGCATAGCCTTAATTAGCTCTTTTGAGAAGTTTGTAGCTCAACATCTTGAACCCGATTTATCTTTGTCAATGATTTTTCCTATTGTTAGTTGTTAAAGTTAAGAAGTAAATAGTTCTTAGTTAACTATTAGAATTCTTGGATAAGTTGTGTCAAATTGGTTGAATGTTTGCGATGGAGATTTGCATAAACTGAAGCTTTCAGGCCCTGTGATTTTACAGTGAGCAACTTTTTATTTTTCAGAATAATTATGTCTTCTATCACACATTGTGTTGTTAGTATCGTTAAAACATTTGTATGCTAGTTGCCTGTAATTTCTGTTCAGTACAATGTAATGGAAGTTGGAATGTTTTGAAACTTTTGTTTCAAATTGGGTATGTTCAATGTCACCGGGATCCTGAAATGATTCCTATGTTTGTCTTATTTCCAGGGCTTAGCAAACGTACTACCTCAGAAGGGCTTCGAGAAGCCTTTGTAAAACATGGCGAAGTGGTCCATGGTATGTTTTTACGTATCCTCGTGCACACAAATTATGATAAGAATACATTTTAAAGGAAGTGTAATGATTGTATTATCTTTTGTCTTTGCAGCCAGAGTTGTGACTGATCGAGTATCTGGTTATTCTAAAGGTTTTGGGTTTGTTAGATATGCGACATTGGAAGATGCTGAAGCTGGTATAAAGGGCATGGATGGCCAGGTGAGTAATGATTAATAATATATTTAGTCACTAGAGAGAAAATAACGTTACAGTAATGAATTGAGTAGTAAAATATTTAATAATTTTTACAAAATGATAACGATATGATGGGATGTGCTGAAATGGGTTTTGAACTTCTCAAATTTGTCTTCCTTTTTATAGGAAAATATGTGTACTTCTCAAACTCAGAAAGTTCATATATACTCACTGCACTAGTGTTCCTTAGCATGCACAAAGAGTTTTCAACTTAGCCTTTGATTGTTGAACTTGTTCTTTTTTTTTTTTTTTTTTTTTTTAAGTTGGAGCCATCACTGAATATGGTTTGTTAAAGAGAAATGAAAATCACTTTCTGATCTAATAATTCATGTTGCACATAAATTAAGCACTCCTTCAATATTCATACTTTATAGATAGCTTCATGAAGAGAATAAATTGAGGTTTGGTTAGACTTTTTTTATGTGAATCTTTGATATGTGTTACTTGTGCCGAGGATCTTTCGGAAACAACCTCTTTACCTCCACGAGGTAGGGACAAGGGGTAAGGTCTACGTACACTCTATCCTCCCTAGACTCTACTTGTGGGATTTTTCTTGAACTTAGTATCTTTCGAAAACAACTTTTCTACCTTCACGAGGTAGGGACTAGGGGTAAGGTTTGTGTACACTCTATCCTCCCTAGTCCCCACTTGTGGGATTTCTCTGTGTATGTTATCGTTGTATAGATAGCTTCATGAACTTCCTTTCCTTATCCTAGGAATGCAACAGTAACCTTATCTTGTCTATGATGAAGGTCTTAACTTGCTTCAGGAAAGTGGAGAGATAGTAACTCCTAGTTCTCATAGGTGCCGTGGGGTCTCAAGGCTGAATTTTGTAAAACAGAGCCTATTTGGATTGTCTTTTCAGTTTTTTTTTTTGAGAAGGATTGTCTTTTCAGTTTTTAATTATAAGTCAATTCTAACTTATGACTTTTGGCTTATATTTGTCATTTTAGCTTAACACTAAGTGCTTTTTAGCACTTTCTTAACTTATCCAAACACTACAAAATTGCTTAAGAGTTATTTTAGTTTAAACGCACTTGTGTTAAGCCAATCCAAACAGGCTCTAAAGTCTCACTAACTTGGTCCATTGGCAAACATAGTATTTTCATGAGATTCAAAAAAATACTCTAATGCTCTCGTGTGTCTAGGGGATCAAACAATATAATATGTACACACATAAAAAAAGGTTTTTTTCACTTGCACATAGTACAATTTTTCGACAAGGGAATTCAATTGAACCCCCTTTGATATATGTGGCTCTGGAGTGGGTGTTTTTGTGGTCTACTTTCTTGTTTTTCAATTGATCATTTGATTCTCAAGGTGCCAGTAGATGGTCACTGGTGATATGCTCTTGAAAGATACTTGGTCTTGGAGAATTAAAATAAATTCATTACTCATGTTTGTCTTTTTTCCTATCTGTTTTGCAGTTTCTTGATGGATGGGTTATCTTTGCCGAGTACGCAAGACCAAGACCACCACCTCCCTCAATGCAGAACAATAATACAACACCTGGATATGGCAATTACAATTCATCATCATATGGCAGTCAGTGAACTGTGAACAAAGCGGCTTCCATCTTACAAGGAGGGATTTTTGGATTATGACACTTCATTGGTGTATACTAAACTTTCTCTCATTTAAGGATGTAAAATTTCTGTCATAGATAAAACTTGGATATGATAATATGTTTGAAGCTTAATCTTTTATGAAAAAGACTTGGTACTTTTCATAGCATTTGTGTTTCAGTACTCATTTTGTTAAAGCACAAAAAATCTTTCCATTTTTGTGTTCATTTGGGCAGAATTGAAGTGTTATTAAGTGTGAAGAAGATTGATTTTGACATTATGACATATAGATTGAGCTTTACATGTGCTTTTGCCTCGAGTTCCAATTGGCATCCAATCCATAAATATCTAGTAAGAAGCAGGACATGCAAGTTATTAAATTAAATAAATGTTTCGTCTCTTTCAAAGATTTGTATGGTTCTATAGGAGAAATTAATGTTGTTTTCTTGTTACTTGATACTAGATCTTTCTTCCTATTTATTCATTGTTTTTGACACCATGAGTGGACTTTGGTTTAATCCTAATTACTCCATCTGTTTCAATTTGCTTATTTGATTAGACACAAAGTTTAATAAAATAAATTAGTCCTTGGAACTTTATAGTTAAAACTAGAGTTATGTTGAACCTTGTTGTCTTAAATATGTCATATACAAAATTGAAATTAATGAATGGTCAAAAAAATGAAAGTCGAATTGAAAAGACGAATAAAATAAGAATGGAGTACTAATATTGGTCACATGTGGCTTAAGATGATTCATTTTTGTTAGAATGTATGTAGTAGGATGTTGCCTTCATTCACAAGTAAACTTGATGTTTGCCATTGAGAGTAACTAATCGTTTCTGATTTCTCATTTAATGAAAAACAAGTGGTTTGCTCCATTTAACCCATGTGGCACTCACTATGGTGTGTCATTGTAATTGATAGGTATGGGTCTTCAATAAATTACTTACTAAATTTGGTTGGTTACTCGCTGCCTATTTCAATTTATTTGATATCGTTTGAATAGATACGAAATTGAAAAAGAATTTTTATAAAAATATATGCTCCAAAACAAGGTGGATTATATTTATTTATGTGACATTAGTGTTATTGCCTGCATCTGGAGGAATTTTGTCCACGTTATATATACTTTGTTGGCTTGTATCCAATCAGTTAATCAATTAGTTTATTTGATGGCTTCTAGAAGTGTTGGATGTGTCATTATACCATTCTTTGATAAAATTCAATTATGTTTTATTTTGAATGTATGGACATTAACATAAATCCACTTACCAATGTTGTGATGTCCTGTAATGCACAAATTCAAATTAATTTGTGAATTATAGTTTTCTTTCTTACTTGATGTTTGTGTATTTCAATTATGAATCATAATTTTTTTCAATATGTTTCAATAAAAAAGTCATTACAAATAATTTAACTTTAAACTATTTGTTTTATGTATAATAAAACAATTTTCATCACACAAATATTAATAATCCATTATAGACCACGAATAAGTTCTCTTTGTTGAGCTTATCGTTAAATAGTAAGATGTTTATTATGTAGAACCTCCAATTCGTGACTGAGAAAGGAGAAAAAGTCTTATGAAATGAACAAGCGCTAAGAAAAGAGAATTGACCTCGATCTTATCCTACTCATTCTTCTTTTTCTGTTCTTGATCCTAAGCGCCAATCAAGTATTAGTTTTTGAGTTTTTTTTAAATAAATTTTATGTCCAGTCAAATACTGTCACGAAATTAATAAGGAGTAAAAGAAGGATAGAGGTGGAAGTTGAGAAAAAAACAAGAATGGGATGGGGAGACCAAAGACAATAACCACCAACTACTTTTGGGTCCCTTTATTATAACTCCAAGATTTAATAGTTAGCCTTTAAATACAAAGCTTAATACAAAATTCCTAATTCTCTTGTTACCCCAAAAAATAAACATGAAGTTCCTTTTGGAACTAATGGCTTGCTGTGGTTGTTCTTCTCGTTTGCCCCCACTTGAAGACATCGGGCCTCTCGTTCCTGGCCCGGCCCAGCCCACTAATCGTAAAAACAGGAGACGAAGGAGAGGTAGAGGTGGACCAACGAGTTCAGTTGGTTCAGTACCTAATAATTGGAGGCCCTCACTTTCGGCCATTTCAGAAGACAACGCTCTGCCACCTAGAAAAGTGAAGAGAAAAGTCATAACTACTTCCCCACCCGCCACTAAACCCCGTCGTCGTAGTTGCGAGGAAACTAGGTATGAAAATTTTATTTAAAAGTTTAAATCGTTAGAAATAATAAATTTTATCTTCAACAAGTGAAATATGTTTTTGATGATGACAATAGATGATTGCGAATTTTGAACTAAGAACCTCTCTAAGTTATGATAATTTTAGAGCAAATTAAACCCGTTTTTTCCTTCTTCTTTTTTTATATCAATAAAATCATTCAATTTTGTGTTATATATTTTAGAAAATTACTATTACCGAAAAATGTAAACTAAGATTAGCCGGAAATCCTTATTAGCATTTCAAATCCTAATTTATATTCCTCGCTATAAATATAAAGTTTAAGCAAAAGTTATTGAGGTTATCTTGACTCGTAGTACCTAATATTGTAGCGATCTCCCCGCAGGGAGTTTGAAGAAAAACAAATTATTGCAGTAATTCTAAAACTTAAAATTTAAGTAAATGTTATTGAGTTTAAGGAATTTTTAGTAAGCTATTATTATGCAAGAGAGTACAATTAGTTGATACTACAACAAATTTGTTGTGCTTTTTCAAGTTGTTTTTTATATCTCTGTATATATATTTTGAATCTCCTTAACGATAATTCTGATTTCACCACTCACGGTTTCATTTTTATCTTACTAATACTTTTGCAGGAGAATTCCAGTTTCAGCCTTGGCGCCAGCTTTCTCCCCAACTCCTTTTTTATTTTAATTCCTCTGTAACCTTTTTTTTGGGGGTGGGTAGTGGGTGGGTGGGGCTTGTACGTAGTTATGATGAACATGTATCATGTATGCATATTGTACTGTAAATGTTCTATATTATTATCTCTTTTTATCTTGTTAATTACCACTTGTGAACTTCCCCTTTTTTTTGCTGAATTGCGATGCGAGTAAAAACTATTTGCAAATACTCTCTCGATGTTTGTCTAGTTTTGACCTGACACGAAAATTAATAAAGTAAGAAGATATTTGAATCTTATGACCTTAAACTAAAGATAAAAGATTAAAATTAATTCCGACTTGTTAGTCCTTTGACTTAGTGAGTTAACAAATTGGTCCTTCTTATAGGATAGTACTCAAATTACGGACTATTTCGAATCTTGCATCAAAGTCATGTCCCAATGCCCACTTGGGATTTGAGTAAGAAAAGAGCTCGTAATCACATTATTAAATTCGTCTAATTGCATGTATCAAACTTTGAGATTGACGAAGAGTGTACTCCATCCTCAAAAACAACGTCATGTCACATTACACACATCCAACTTTGACTTCCAAACACATAAATAATCCAATAAACTCAGATGATCAACCTATCTTGTGGAAATCAAACTCTTTACTTTAATTAAAAGAATTTTAAAAGATTGTTGGACCTCCCTAATACAAAAATATTAAATCAGTATGATATAGAAAAAGTATGAAAAAAGAAAAGTAATACAAAAATAATTAATTTCAAGCATTTTATCAGTAAACTTAGGTACATCTCTCGATCTTCAAACTTATAGTTATAAAAAATAAGTGTACTTGTGTTAATATGTTATGAACCAGCCTCAGCCCAAGAATGATATCTATATATACGGATGTCACACAACTAGTTATTGGATCGAGAAGAAGCAACAAAACTGAAATGCCTGCCTATTTTAGGGGGGAGTGTGCCGTTTGCTTTGTTTGGGGTTTGCGCTATTTTTGGTAATGTATTTACCAGAGACGTTAAACAAGCCATTTTATGATGCAATGGATGGATTGCGAGAAGGTGAAGCAAAATCCGGGGTGGTAGCTTAAATGGTCCCACGTCTCATCCAGGAAAAAGGACAAATATACTTCCGAACTATCGTAAATGATATACAGATACCCTTCGTCATATTTTGGGACATTTGTGCCCCTGCCTTCCAAAAACTAGAGCATATATATCCTTTATATATACTAACCGACATACACGTGTCATAATCTTATCCACCGATCCGACATTTGTTAAATATCGGATCGACGGATAAGATTGCGCCACATGTCCCTATTTAGTCTTCCGTTAGAGTGAAGATCATATAAGATCTAGTTTTTGGATGGCAGGGGCACCAATGTCCCAAGAATATGACGAAGGATATTTGCATACCATTACGATAGTTCGGAGGTATATTTGTCATTTTTCCCAATTTGATTCGTTAATCCATTTTGTCATAACAACACTTTGTCATCATCCTCAATTTACTACGTTTTAAGTTTCATATATACTCCGCCACTATCTAAACTTTCACCTGATTGGCTACGTACGACTAAAATGAAAAGAAGAACAAATAAATAAACATAAAACGTAATTGATTTATATGGAACTAATATGGATGGAATTTGAAAAGACGGCCTTAAAATAGGCAATATCGTGCAAAACTGCAAATAATCCGTGCAAAAAGGCTCTTTGTCTCTTCGACTCGTTAAGAACACTATATTTCGTTTTTTTGTAAGGGTAATCGGCCCTCTACATTGTGGTAAATATTTATTTGTATGTAGTGTCTACACCAAATTGATGTAAAATATTCTACATGCATGCCATTAGGCCCACTATTCTGAAAAAATGTTTTGCTAATTTTGAAAAGAAATTGATTAAGTAAGAGAAATGCATTTAAAAGTCATGAATTTGAAACAATTTAATTAATCAAAATCAAGTGAAGACTTTATCAAAATATTTGAATTAAGTGATGTAAAATGAATCGAGAGTTAATAAATGAAATACATTAACAAAATAAATCAACCAAAAAAAAAAATAAGTTCATCTTTTGAGAAGTTCGACTAAGTTATAACAATAACAAGTATTGCAACAACTAATTACAACCAAATATAAGCAAGAGAAAGAATGGATCTAGGCTTTCTTAGCCCAAATTCCCTGCTGTCCAAAAAAATGAGGAATTTACACAGACATACAACTTTTATAGTTTTTTTTCTTTTAATCATGTGCAACCAATTCGCATTAGTTAAGGAGACGTGGAATTATTTTTTCTTCCTTGTTTTTAACTCCTATAATTAGGAAAGTTAGCTTTTCAATTTCTTTAAATTCTCAAACTCAACTTTATTTAACAGTCTGTTTAAAAAAAATATTAACGCAATATACAGAAACATAAAGATATACTTGATTGTAATTTTATGAATTATTTTTTTTCTACCAATCAAGAATAATTAGTTTATTAAAAAATTGATTGCCTACTTTTAAGAAGTGAAATATATATATTTTATATATCAATTAACCCATTAAAAAAAGGTTACACTAACTTTTAAGGAATGATTTTTTAAAAATTCTTTAAATAACTTATTAAAAGATTGTGACTACTTTTAAGGTAAGAAAATGTATTATTAATGCTCTAACGTGTATTAATTAACACATAATCGATAATAATTAATCAACTAATATTAAATGGCATTTTATTAGAAACTGCAATAATACATATGCATAAATTATACAATAATTAAAGTTGTGATTGCATAATGTATACATAAAAAAGTATATGTATACACAAAAAAATATTTATAAAAATAGATGTGTAAATTTTATTGATGTATACAACAATTGTAGCATGTATACATAAACTTTATATTGTATACATAAGAATACTACCATCAATTATACGTATTACTATAATGAATACAAGAATGAGATTAATATGATACATATATAAATTAAATTTTATTCATTAATTGTACATGTGATTTTGTTTATGTATACGGTAACTGCACTATGTATACATTGGTTCGTATTCATCTGTGTATTCATTGATTTGTATTCACATAATAAATTTGTATACTTTAATTTAAATTGAGATTGGAATTCATTGGTATACATTGGGTTGTATTCATCAAAATCAACATTCTAATTTTTTACGAGGATCTTACGAGAATCTTTCTTACCCATGAATTGAGAACAAAAATTTCAAAATATTATAACTTGAATTTTCGCCAAAAAAAGTTTCAAAAACTTTAGTTCCACAAATCACGAAATTTTAAAATTAATGGGGCAAGAAATGCTACATAACTATATATTAAAAGAAATTTTTGGAAGGATCAATTGATAAACATACAATTATATCCGATTTGCATAGACAAAGTGAATTAAGGAGAATAAGAGAAAATTTAGATGAGAAGCAAATATACATATGAAAAGGATTTTACAAAGAAAACAAAAAAAAGTTGAAAAACCTAAATTTTCGCAAAAATACAATTGAAAAAACTTCAATTCCACAAATCATGAAATTCAACAATTAATTGGACAAGAACAAGATTGTATATAAAGGTGATTTTTAAAAGTATTCATGAAAAAACATATTGTTATATCTGATTTTCATAAACAGATTGAATTAAGGAGAAGAATTGAAAATTAGGGAGAGAATCAAATATATGTATGAAAAGAATTCTAGAAAGAGAAAAAGGAGACGAAAAGGAGAAGAATTTTATTTTAAAACGGTTGACAAAATAAAAAAAGAGATAAAATAGGGATAATAAAATAATAATTTTTTTCTTTTCAAGAAAAAAAAGGAGCAATCAAACGTGTGTTTAGAGAAAAATAAGAAGAACGAAAATACATTTTTTAAGAAAAAGAAAAATAACTATTGAATGCCAAATAAATATAACAAAGTCTTTTTTCTTGCTAAAAAAAATTAAAAATGAACTATTTATTGTTAATTTAGTCTATAAGGTGTTATGCTGTGCCATTTTGTCCAAAATGTGAATATGCCCAAACTTGGAGTCTTAACCCAATCATCATTGTATACTTGTTGTATATCGTCTCTCTTTGAACTTGTATAATAGCTTCTCTAAATTTGTATACTTGCTTCCCTTTTTATCTTTCGTTCAATTCGGCAGAGTCAAATACAGATGTTGGATTTTATTCCAACGAAATGAAAAAAAGGGAGTCACAATAGATTCATATGGGAAATCATGCACACGCAAAAGAAAGAAAGATTTTTTATTTGATAAAGATCCTAATCAAGTAGTAATTTCGTCTTAGGGTGAAGGAAATCAGTATTTAACATTATGACATAAAAATTGCCTAATCAAATCGATATCTCTAAGGTTCACATTTTACTTTTATTACATACAAAACTAATTCATGTATGGATGACAATGTAGCGGAACAGATGCAGGGTGGGGTTGATTTAAGGCTATGCGAGATAGGGTAGGTTTAAGGCTATGCAAGGTGGGGTTGATTTAAGGCTATGCGAGATGGGGTAGGTTTAAGGCTATGCGGGGTGGGTGAAAATGGATTTTTTAAAACTAATGGATAGCGGGGCAGGTTGCAGGTATATGTAGTTTTATGTGAGTTCAAATTTAATTTTAACTTTTTACATGTTATAAGAGGGATAAAGCATTATGTATTAAGATAATTTTTCTAAAGCTACTAAAATAAAAAATAATACAATTTCTTATATGTTTCATAATTAACCTCTAAAAAATAAATTTTTGAGTCACTTCTTATTAAATTGATACAACTTAATAAAAAAAATGAACTTATTTTTATGAATTTTATTCTAGTATCAAACTTAACTAGAAAAAAAATATTAAAAAAATGCGGAGCGGGTTCATGCAGGATGGGCTGGGGCGGATTGAAAATATTTTTTTTTTTATGTGAGGCGGGACAAAATAGACTACGAATTTTACAGGTTAAGCTCAACTCGCACCCCTATTACCATCCCTGATGCATGTTGAAGGTTGTGGGTCAGGAGAAAGGACCGGATCAATAACAAATAAGGTCCCAAATTGGACCAACTCTTGTCTCATTTTGGGTCCAAACAAAATGGGATGAAGGACCAATTTCATCCATGTTGTGCTACTTATAATTATCTTTTATTCTCACGTAAAACATTTCAT